GAATACCTCCCAACAGCCTGTGCTCCCTCCTTCCAGACTCTGGCCTCCCGTCGGCCTGCATTGTGGGGGCTGCAGTCTGGAATAGGTAGGATGCGGAGGATCCCCCGCAGCCCTCCCAGTGTCCTCAGGCAGGTAATACGTGAGCAGGTGCCCGCCCGTCCAGTCTCCTCCTGGCTGCCCTCCTATCTAGGTCCCCCGCACCTCCCTCCAGCTCTCTCTGCCTGGCAGGGAGGAGCTGCTCGAGTTAAGCGGATTTCATGCTATTTTCAAAGTCATCTTCCATGGAGATTTTTTTCTACCATTAAACCTACTTTCTGCTGCTCTTCTCATCTCCCTGAAAGCTTCCTCCTCCTCGTCCATGAGATAAACCAGTAATGGGAACATTTAGGAACCTGCTAGTGACACTCTACAGGTGTCCTGGGGTGTCACTCGCCAAGGTTGGGGAGAAGTCACGCGAAAGCCTCCCTGTTAGGAGTCAGGCCAGTCAGAGGGTCAGACAGCACTGAGGGCTGGGGTCGGAGCAGGCTCCCCTTGCATTCACGCGCACTCCTAAGCTTTGCCTCTCGGCCGGACGTCAGGATACCTGGCCCTCATCCTCCTGTGACAGCCACCCCACTGGGACGAGTGGTTTACAACCAGCGACTAAGGTCATCTGAGGAGCAATTGAGGCATTTCCCAGAGACCCCCAGGGGACCAACATTTGAGCAAAGCTGACCCTGGGAGCTATGAGTTGGAGGGGTCGGGATGAGCTAGGAGATGCCAAAGCCAGCATATGCCTCCCTGTGAACTCACTCCACCTTGCTGTTCATCCCGTATAGAAGCTTCTATCATATTGCTGCCAGTAGGCAGAGGCCTCTGTGAACACAAGAGTTGGGGCCAAATGACTGTACTGTCAGCTCCCGGCGCAGGGCTCGGCCTGTCATGGGTTGCTAGACAGACGCCTATCACACCTGCCAGACCCTGTGTGAGGTCTTATCTAGCACCTGGACCAGACTTGGGCGCTGAGTGGCCTCAGAGGTGACCTGGTAGGAGAGCTGTGCTCAAAAGAGAGGATGAGAATAAGAATGGCCTGGACCAGTCCAATTCCCTTCCCTGTGATCATCTCGCAGTGTGGAACCACATGAAGCCTTCAGTGTTCCTAGGGTCCTGCCAAGATGGAGATGTGGGAGAGAAAATTCTAGGATGATGCCCAGCTTTCTGGCCATTTCAGCTGCTAAGCTGATGCTGGCAGCAACCAGGCTTAAAAATACTCAGAGAAGAGCAGGTAGGTGGGGGATGAGCCCAGACTGACAGTGAGACTGAAGGGCTGCCCACGAGGGGCAGGTATGAGCTGGTTGCTTGGGGCGCAAGAGCCCCCCCAGGGCCTGAGTGCTGGCCTCCAGAGAAATATTTGAGGAGCAACCTCGTGCATCAAGGTAGACAAGATAATCTCCACCAAAATACAGGACCCCTACCCCTAGGGGATGAATATATTAAAAAATTTTTAATTATTCACGTTTCACCTAATTGCTTTTTAAGATTTTATTTATTTATTTGAGAGAGAGAGAATGGGAGAGAGCACATAAGAGGGGGGAGGGTCAGAGGGAGAAGCAGACTCCCCGCCGAGCAGGGAGCCCGATGTGGGACTCGATCCAGGGACTCCAGGATCATGACCTGAGCCGAAGGCAGTCGCTTAACCAACTGAGCCACCCAGGCGCCCTCACCTAATTACTTTTTAGGATGAAGTTTTTGTATTCAAAATTTGTAGAACCAGTTACTACTCTACAATGGCACAGAATGTTGGAAGATGTAGAGCCAACCTCACATACTGTTTTCTTCCTTTATTCCCATTGTTCATTTCACTAGAATTTCTTCCTACATCTGCATGTGAGAAAGTGGTGCAAAACATACAAATAATTTCAACAAATGTCAACTTCAAAATCAGCATTAGCATGAAATATTCTTAGCGAAGATAGCCACTGCTTAGGTATAATCTGCCTTTCTAAGCAATTATAAAGGAAACGGTTTTTCTACACGAGAGTAACTTAACCATACTGATAAAATATTTTCCAAATCAATAAATATTGACATATCATTTTTATCTTATTTTTTTTCCAACAGAAGCTAAAGTATCTCCCTGTGGTTTGGGGACTTAGAGCTGGCCGTGGACAAAAGGACCTTTCAGTCTCGGGACAGGAGTACCTTTACTTTACAGGGCAATCTTGAGCAAGAATCTCCCTGGGCATTAGCCTCCTAGAAAACAGGAATTAGATTCCCAGGGGCTCTCAAACTGGGCATGATTGTTACCAGTAGCAAATGCTCATCCAGGACTTATGTAATCCCCATTTTACAGATGGAAAAAGTGAAATGCAGCGAGGTTTAGCTCACCCATGTGCATACACTGCCTCTCCAATGTCTAAGACTATCATCAGTAGGTTTGGGTGGGGCCCTGGAATCCATGCTCCTAACCAGCTCCCCCAAGGACGGAGATCCAGTGGTTTTTAGACCCCATTGAGGTACTGCTCAGGCATCAGATCTGCTCTGGTTCTGAAAGCCCATGGAAACAAACAGAATCCAGAGCCCCAACCAGGGCAGTTCTCAGGAGGGAGCTTGCTACCACCCTCTGACAGCTAAGGCAGGAAGGGCAGGTAGGCTGGGGGTTCCAAACAGCCAGACCCAGCCCACCCTACCAGGAACCCAGACTAGTCTCTTGCTGCACCAGATCGCCACCTGCTGGCTCTAGGTGGCCATTCCAGGCCAGATTTAGCAAGATCATTCTGGCATTTATCAGGATGGAATAGGATAGTTTGAAAGCAGAGATCCAGTATCAGAGATGAGAGCAGCCACTGACCTAGATTAGGGGGTTGCTGTGGGATGAAGAAAAATGGCCAATGAGAGATATTTAGGAAGTAGGATTGATTAGATTTAATAACACCAATCCCAAAGGACAACAGCCGGAAAAGCATAGTGGCCCCATTACATTCATTCCCTCATACAAGTTGTAGCCCCTACTATGTGCCAGGAACTAATCTTCCTGGGGTCTAAGCAAGTCAGGAAAAAGCCCTGCTTTACATAGAGCTCTAACGGGTGGGGGTAGGAGGTAATCAAATAAGCAAATATCAGATGGGAATAAACACCACATGGAGAATTGAAAAAGGGTAATGCAATAGGGACTCAGATCCGAATGGTAAGGAGCCTGCCCTGTAACGGTGTTCCAAAGGAACAAATGCGAAAGCCCTTAAAGCGAGCGTAGCGTGTTCGAGACCCAAGGCAGCCAGTGTGGCTGGAGCACAATGCATGAGGGCAAGAGTGGGACAAGCAGGGGGAGCCAGTCAGGGGTCATATTATGAAGGCTTTTGTCAGGCAGTGCAAGAAATTCTAAGAGTAAAGGGAAGCCACGGACAGGTTAGACAGGAAAGTGAAAGAATGTGATTTCCCTTAAAGCGCTCTTGGCTGTTCTATGGAGCATGGACTGTACAGGGCAAGAGTAGAAGGGAGACAGGAGACAGGGACATGGGCCAGTGGGGATGGCACCAGCAACAGGAAGGGGAGAGGGTTCTGGGCACACTTTGGAGTCAGTCAACAGGACTTGCTTTTATAGACTGGATACGGGGGGTGAAAAAAAATAGCAGAACCAAGAATGACTTCCCAGGACCATGACGATGGCAGCCGGTGCGGAAAACCAACATTTTCCCCGCTGATGCCATACCCCAACAAGCTGAGGTCTGGCCTTAAAGCTCAGCCCACTGGAGGGGGTTTGCAACTTAGCCACTCTGAGGCCCACGGTATCCTTACCTGTGCCCGGGCCTAGCCTGCTTGGGTGCATGACAAGCATGATAGAGAATGCCTGCCACGGAACTGACCTGACCCTTGTGCTGGCCTGGCCTGCAAGGACTCTTCGTGGGCTGGTTTTCTCCCATAGTGGGAGTATCTTTCCAGGCGGCCAGAGCCCCGTCCCCAGCCAGAAGTGCACCCAAGGTCACCTCTAGATCCGATGCTAAACAGAATCCCCAGAGTCATCCCCTCTTATCCCCCAAACCCTGGACCTGGGAGTGTCCCCTTAAACCAAAGGGACTGTGGGAATGAGCAGGCACATCCTGGCTAAACAAATACCAGAGACCAAGGGCTGTGGGTACCACATCACTTTATTTTTTTGGTTTTCCAACTTGACTCTTAGACAATGCAAATTCGGTTATTCGCCTGCCCGGCCACTATATGGTCCCTCGCTGATGGGGCACAGGCTCTGAGGAAAGGCTCAACAGAACGACAGGGGTCCCTAAGAGCCAACCGAGCTGGCAGAGGACTGAAGGGTCCACAGATGGGCCAAGCACCAGCAGAGACTCGAAGCCCTCTCCCCCAGCCCCTTATCACACTCCTTTCAAGGGACAGGCCAGCACCTCAGTGATCAGCTCAGGGCCTTCCCTTAGAGGTCCTTCCGATATACCCTTACTTGTCATGCTGAGCCTGGCACCCTCTCCCTTGGGGGCACGAGGCAGAAGCCACTGACCTGCTCCATATTTGATTTCTAATGTTCCTTTGGGAAACATCTTTGAGTAAGGAGGGTGCCGACCCCCAAAAGAAACTGAAGACATATATTCTGCCTAATGGGACAAACAGCCATGTAACGGTACTTCTTTCGTCCCGAGGAAAAGTTGAAAGCAGCTTTAGCTAACAAACCCCCTCAGGACCCCCATACATATGGTTTCCAACACCAGCCAGGGGGCCCAGCCAACCCACTTAAATCAAAACAAAAAACTAAAACCAAGACAATAAAAAGCAAGAATGGCAAACAACCGAAAAGAACAATTCTGGCCCTGCAGCTCTCTGCAGGAGACCAGATGGCTCATTTCTGGCTCTGTCTGCCTTAGAACCAGCAAGCAGCGCAAAGCTGCCCTTGGATTCAAGGTAGACACTGTGGGAGCCAGAGCGAAGGGCGTCCTGGCCAAGCCAGGGGTCAACTTAGGTCCCTGACCCTGTCCAAACGGGTCCCCTCTCCTCCCAGACCCCTTCACACCTCCCCATCAGCCATCCACCAGGGTGAGGCCGTCATAGAGCGCCCGTTTCCACATGTAGTAGGTGGAGCGGGCGGTGAGGGGAAAGAGGGCGCTGAACTCCTTGAAGGAGGGGAAGCTCTTAGACTGGAAGCGCTTCTGCAAGAACAGCTTGGCCTGGGCCTTGAACTTTGTGGTGGCGAGCATGTCCATCACCAGCACCTGGCCGTCCCTGCCCCCCACCGCTGCCTCCGCCACAGGGCGGCTGGACAGGGACCTGCTGTGGGGCCGGCCCTGGGCCGTGGCCCCCTCGCCAGAAGGCCCTCCCTGGGCCTTCCCGGGATCCTCTCCTGGAGAAGCCCCCACCTGCAGGGGGGTCCCTGCAGGAGGGGCCATCGCAGCTGACCCATCCCTGCCAGCTTCCTTCTCCTGCTTCTCCGCTTCCCGCAGCCCCCCTTTGCCCAAGGTGGGGGCCTGCATTTGGAATTTGGGCAGGCCTCTGGGCCAGCCCCGGGCAAGACTCTTCCAGACCCAGAAGGTGGAGGGCGACAGGCTGGGGTAGCGGAGGCGGAAGCGACAGAAGGGGAGATGCCCACTCAGCACCTGCTTGCGGGCAGCCCTGCGCAGGCGCCTCTGCCAACGGGACAGGGGCACCTTGGGGGGCAGGAACTCGTGGGGGGCGGGTGGTCCCCCCGCCGTCGCTTTGCCTGCCCCCTCGCCCCCCTCCCCCTTCCAAGGGAGCAGGGCCTCTTCCGGAACGGATGCCGGCTGGGGAGCCCCAGTCGTGGGGAGGGCTGGTGCCGGCTTGAAGCCGGGGTTCCTTCGGAGGGCCTTCCGGCGCCAGTTGTAGTAGGTGGACCGGGAGATGCCGGGGAACCTGCGTTTGAAGCAACGATAGGGTACCAGTGTGTTCAGGGAGATGCAGTGCTCCAGGTACAACTTGGCCCGCTGCATTAGGACCACTCCGGGGCTCGACACGGCCAGCGAGGAGCATCCCAGCCCCTTGGCCACCTGCTCCTCTGGCAGCTTCTGCAGCGCCTCCGTCACCTGCCCCTCCTTGGGGGCCAGGGCCTGGCAGGCGCCGGAGCCCAGGAGCTCTTGCTTCCAGGCGTAGTAGGTGGAGCGGGAGATCTCGGGGAACCTCTGGAGGAACTGCTGCAGCGGGACGATGCCGCCGCGGTGGACGCTGTCCTGCAGGAAGTGCTTGGCCGAGAAGCGGGCGGCCACCTTCTGCCGGTGCTCCTGGGACTGCCGCCGCCAGCGGTAGAAGGTGCTCTTGGTGACACTGTAGCGCTCGCGGAGGTGGGAGTAGCTGAGGCCAGGCTCCTGGCTGAGCAGCTCCAGGGTCTTGGCCGGCGCTGGCGGCAGCGGGGCCGGGCCGGGGGCACCTTCGGCCTCCACCTCCTCCAGCGCCACCACAGGGGCAAAGTACTGGTGGCGGAAGAGGTGGCTGCTGAGCGGCTGGCCGGCCCACATGATGTGCAGCGTGGCGGGCACGTGGTCACAGCGGCGCGGCCGGATGACCCGATTGAAGTAGGGCCGGATCTTGAGGTTCCGCAGGGGGTAGATGGAGTAGATGTTGCGCTGAAGGACAGAGGCGAGAGCATACAAGTGCCACACGTTGGAGAAGCTGCTGGGGAAGCAAGTGGCCTTGACGTCTGCGTCGAAGATGGCCTCCAGCGTGGCGGGCGGCAGGCTGGTCATCTCAGGGGACTCCTCGGAGCACAGGGAGTAGCGCACGGCCTGCAGCATCACCTTGGAGTCGATCATGCCCTGGAGGTAGTAATGCCTGTGCAGCAACATCTCGACCACGGTGCGGGCCCGCAGCTCCAGGCTGAAGCCCGCGTCCCCCCACAGCAGCACGCTGGCCGCCTCGAACAGCAGGCTGCCCTCGCCTTCGCACGCCAGCGGCAGCATGTTCCGGGGAGCATCCTCGGGGTACAGGCTCAGGGCCACCGAGTCCACCTCCAGCACCTGGGGGCTGGAGCCCCCCTCGCGGCAGGTGGGCAGGGTGAAGGACGACAGCACCTGCTTGGCCTCCAGAGCAGCACCGACGAGCCCCTCGAGGCCCTCGGACTCCACAGCCTCCTGCAGCTCCCGCAGCACCTGCTGTACCAGCTGCTCCCGAGAGGTCATCCTGCCAGGGCAGAGGGCAGAGTCAGGACGCCCAGATACCCAGCAATGGTGACTTGCACCCGCTCCCTGAAGATAATGCCCACCCGCTCCCATCCCCCCACCCCCGGGGGTAGACCGGCTGGCTAAGTGCCTCCCGGGGTTTAATCCCTCAGGGGTACTGAGGAAGAGCCTGGTCTCTGGAACCTGACTTTGAAATCCTGGTTCTGATACTAGCTTGAGCAAGTCATTTCAGCTCTCCATGCTTCTGGTTCCTCTTCTGTCAAGTGAGATGATCAAAGTATCCAGTTACACAGTTATTGTGAGCACAACTGAGACCGTGAAAGCATGGAGATATATAGGTACGTACACACACACTCATCCTTAGAACAGTGCCTGACACACGGGGAAGGAATGGAGAAGCGTTAGTTAGCTAGGACACATTCCACAGTACAGACATAAAGGCTTACCTCTGTACCTGTTAAAAAGACTTACAAACTGGGGGGTGGGGGGATGGGTTAGTCCGGTGATGGGTATTAAGGAGAGCACGTTCTGCATGGAGCACTGGGTGTTATACGCAAACAACGAATCATAGAACACTACATCTAAAACTAATGTAATGTATGGTGATTAACAGAACAATAAAAATTTTTTAAAAAAATACAAACTCACAGAGCTACAATTGGTCTGCCTTTCCTTAGAATGGTGATTCTCAAAGTATGGTCCATGGACCCTTGGGGTTCCCTGAGACTTTTTCAGGGGGTCTGCACATTAAATTTTCATAATACTAAGATATACTAAGATAATGTAAAACTCAGATATTATTTGCCTTTTTCATTATATTAATATTTGAGTAGAAATGTGGTAACTTAGCATGAATCAATCTATGCTAGTAGTCATGATATTCTTTACCACCATGTACTCAGTTTGGGGGGGCTGGGAAACACTAGTTTCACTCAAGAATGTCCCTGATGAAGCAGTAAAGTTGTTTTTTTTTTTTAATTTAATCACAGCCCTTAAGTACATGACTTTTCAGTTTTGCAAGTGGCAAAATGGGGAGTACTCATTTCTGCTGCATACTGAATGTCTCACATGCCAATTGTTTGGTTTATATAATGAACTAGCTGCTTTTATCATGGAATATCACTTTTATTTGAAAGAAAAACTGAGACATTACTCATTTAGACTTGGGTATATTGGGCAGACATCTCAAAAATGAGTAAGGTGAGCCTGTCACCTCAAAGAAAACTGTTGACTCTTTGCTGCCAGTAAAATTCTGAACTTTCATTTGAAAACTAGAATTTTGGAAAACCTGCATCCACTATAGTGAACTTGACAGTTTCCCAATACCTAAAGACTTTTCTGATGGGATCAGTAGTGACACTAACAAATGTAACTTTTTATACCATGTAATGGAATTGTCAACATCTGAAGATCTACATCCATCAATGAACTGTGTTTCCAAAAAACCAATGGGTGATGTTACAAAGTCACACACAGGTAAAAGATCCACTCCAAGTATAAAAGAAAGCAATGAATTTTACTATACAAAAGAATCCTAGATATTGTTTTTACATTATAACTAAGCTTTAAGAAACTACTACTTGTCACGTGTTGATGTACTGATCAAAGAATATTCACTGAACAAGCTATCGAAATACTCTTCCTTTTTCCACCTATCTGGACAAAGTTGGATTTTCTTCATAGAATTCTATCAAAACAACGTTATCACAACAGGCTAAAACGTAGAGACAGAATACCTTTTAAACCAGATATTACAGAGACTTGAAGACATGTATAAGAATGCATTCTTCTCACTACATCTTTTTTGTTCTGGAAAAGTTATCTTTCACAAAAAAAACTTTTTTTTTTACTGTGTAACAGGCTTGTTGTTTTTGTTTTTAAAGATTTTATTTATTTATTTGAGAGAGAGAATGAGATAGAGCATGAGAGTGGGGAGGGTCAGAGGGAGAAGCAGACTCCCTGCTGAGCAAGGAGCCCGATGCGGGACTCGATCCTGGGACTCCAGGATCATGACCTGAGCAGAAGACAGTCGCTTAACCAACTGAGCCACCCAGGCGCCCCAACAGGCTTGTTTTTTAATAAATATTTTCTAAATTTCTCCATTTTAATTTTGAATACACATTGATAGATGTAACCTATATAAATAAAAGCTCTTCAGGGCCCTCAAGTTTTAGAGAGCATACACGGGTCCTGAGACCAGAAAGTTTGAGAACCACTGCCCTAAAACAAAGAGCCTTTTCAAAGGGGTGGCAGCAGCCTAGTCCCTGGACTAACATAGATCTAATAACTAGGATGTACTGAGCATTCAGTATTTGCCAGGCACTGTCTTCTAAGACTGAAAGCCATACTTTAAAAGTAGGCACTACCCGGGGCACCTGGGTGGCTCAGTCGTTAAGCGTCTGCCTTCAGCTCAGGTCATGATCCCAGGGTCCTGGGATCGAGCCCCACATCGGGCTCCCTACTCTGCAGGAAGCCTACTTCTCACTCTCCCACTCCCCCTGCTTGTGTTCCCGCTCTCGCTGTCTCTCTCTCTGTCAAATAAAATCTTAAAAAAAAAAAAAAAAGTAGGCACTGCCCTCATGCCCAGTTTAGGGGTAAGAAAACTGAGAAAATGCAACTTAGGCTAATTTGCCCTAAATCACACAAGTGGTGGGGTCAGTACCAATGCTTGAGCCTAGTCGCTTTAGGGTCTGTGATTCATCTCCAGTTTAAACCAACACAAACGAATGATCCTAATTACTGGTACATTTTCAGTGTTGCATTGCAAAGCAAAGTATATTCCTTTTCAGATACTGCTTTAAAAGAAGACCATTGTCCTCTCTCAGATCTTTGTTCTCAGAATTCAATAAATTGCTTTAGATTAGCCTGAGGTTTATTTTTTTTTTAAGATTTTATTTATTTATTCATAAGAGACAGAGGCAGAGGGAGAAGCAGGCTTCCCGCTGAGCAGGGAGCCTGATGCGGGGCTCGATCCCAGGACCCTGGGATCATGACCTGAGCTGAAGGCAGACGCTTAACGACTGAGCCACCCAGGCACCCCAAAACTTTCATTAAAAAAAATAGGGTGCCTGGGTGGCTCAGATGATTAAGCGTCTGCCTTTGGCTCAGGTCATGATCCCGGGGTCCTGGGATCGAGTCCCTCAGGGAGCCCACTTCTCCCTCTCCCATTCCCCCTGCTTGTGTTCCCTCTCTCGCTGTCTCTCTGTCAAATAAAATAAATAAAATCTTTAAAAAAAAAAAAAAAGTATTTGACAGAGACAGTGAGAGGGAACACAAGCAGGGGGAGCGGGAGAGGGAGAAGCAGGCTTTCCCCTGAGCAGGGAGCATGATGTGGGCTCCATCCCAGGACCCTGGGATCATGACCTGAGCTGAAGGCAGACGCTTAACTAAGGACTGAGCCACCCAAGCGCCCCTAGCCTGAGTTTTAAAAACTGTGTTTGGGTGTATATATTTGTCAGCTCATCAAACTGCACACTTAAAGGGGATGTGCTTGTGTAAATTATGGTTCAGTAAAGTTTTTAAAAAAGTTTGTAAAGCACCAAAAGAGTACCAGAATTTTACCTGATAATCATAAAAAAGCTTTTCAGAAATTAGTAATCAGGGGTACCTCGCTGGCTCAGTCAGTAGAGCGAAGAGACTTGATCTCGGGTCATGAGTTCAAGCCCCATATTGGGCAGAGATTACTAAAAATTAAAAAATTAGAATCACCTTTGGGTAAAACTTCTTGGCTGTAGATTTTTTTTTTTTTTAACGTGTATGCTGTGACAAATCTGATCTAACCTCGCAATGATTTTGTATTTTTACCGTATCATTTGACCCTGGAGTTGGGCTCTTAATCTGTTCATCATGAATGTACTTTATGTTTACTTTTTAAAAAACGATTCATTTCATTGGACTCAGGAGATAAAACAATGTCGTAGCAGTCCTTGATAAAGAGAGCACACGTCCATAGTCGATTAAAAAATTGAGCCCTGGGGTGCCTGGGTGGCTCAGTCGGTTGAGCGAGCGTCTGCCTTCAGCTCAGGTCATGATCCCAGGGTCCTGGGATGGAGCCCCGCGTTGGGCTCTCCGCTCAGCAGCGAGTCAGCTTCTCCCTCTCCCTCTGTGATCTCTCTCGCTTTCACTCTCTCTCAAATAAATAAATCTTTAAAAAAAAAAAACACTGAGCCCTGAAAAACACACTGTACACACAGAACAGCCTTTTCCCTCTGGTAGCCAACAAAGATGCTGGTTTTACTCACATGTCCCTGGTAGAATACCGCTATACAGCTGTAGAGACATGAGCAAACTTTGCAAACAAAATTATGAAAATAGCCACCACTTACTTACGGCTTACTAGGTGCATTTAATTAGGTAATTCAACCAAAATCTCAGGAAAAAAGTGAAGGGACGATGAATTTAAACTGTTGGGTGATTCCTCCTACCCTCCTACTCAGTCTCTTTCCTGAGCAAAGCACCATGTCCCCTCCGGTGATGGCAAGCTCCTTTGGGCTTTACAAGGATTGAGTGGATTTCAGGCTTTTTAGAGGTAATTTTGTTTATATGCGGTTCTCCCCTCCCCTCCATGTAAACTACAACTCCATCACACCTGCACCATTGCTAGGATGGCTATTCTGAGTTCGCACCTGGAGAAATGGAGGCTTGGGGGTTAAATTAAATAACTTTCCCAAGACCACACAGCTATTAAAACTATAAAATTAGGGGCGCCTGGGTGGCTCAGATGGTTAAGCGTCTGCCTTCGGCTCAGGTCATGATCCCAGGGTCCTGGGATCGAGTCCCGCATCGGGCTCCCTGCTCCTTGGGAGCCTGCTTCTCCCTCTGCTTCTCTCTCTCTTTCTGTCTCTCATGAATGAATAAATAAAATCTTTAAAAAAAAAAACACTATAAAATTAAGCAATGTGACTCCAGAGTGCCCCTCCTAAACACTGTAATTCCACCACCCAGGGGAATACATCACCCAAAATGCTTATCAGCTGAAGGATCCAAAAACGCATGGATTC